ACAGGGTTAGCTAAGCATAGTGTATTTTGAAATGAATGCTTTAATCAAGGGGAATAGATAGATAGATAGATAGATAGATAGATAGATAGATAGATAGATAGATAGATAGATAGATAGATAGATAGATAGATAGATAGATAGATAGATAGATAGATAGATAGATAGATAGATAGATAGATAGATAGATATAGATATTATTATTTTTTTTTTTCTACACAAAAAGTGCTATTATTTTTGAAGTTAGAAAACTTTTTGGGCTTTCCAGTATTTCTTATAGCTGCTTTGAGTCAGTGTAGTATACAGATTTTTTTTTCCTGTATATTAAAGAGATATAGATGCATAGTATATATTATTGTTCAATATAATCGAAAGCTAGATAATGTTACTGTTCCACCAATTAAATTTACAAGCATCTGGATCTGTTAGCTGCGTGTTCTTTGTTTTTAGTTGGAGACAAAAGATGCTCTGCATGGAAAAGCCTCTTTAGGATCACTTACATCAGTTGGCCTCAGTCTAAACTATGACTTTTTTGCAGAAAATATCATCTTTAATAAGAATGAACAGAACCTTATCCCATCTACCTCACCTTAGATCTGATCAATACTAAAATCACATCTGTAAAGCCATGTTTTAATTTTTTGTATATGCCTTAGTCCTAAGGTAGGTGAAATCCTGAAATCACCTCTTGCACGGACTTTGATTTAAAAGAAGGCTTTTCACTCTTAATTTCTAAGCATTTAAATTAATAGTTTTCCTTTGAATGTGAATGACTGAATATTAAACTAAAAGCTTTTATAAGGAAGTCTGACTTTTTTTTATGTAACTTAGGATGTTTTTGATATTCTTTTTTTTTTTTTTTTTATTACGTGGAAAAGTGATTCTGTATCTTCTAAAAGAAAGATATATTAATTTCCCAAATACTTAAGGCCTTGATCTTGCATGTTCAGTTTGTATGGGCCAAGACAGCATATATTAGATATGGACAACTAGTGCAACCTTCCAGCACTACCATTTTACAATGCCTAAACCCAAGGTATAAACCTCTCACTATAAAAAAAAAATACTATGTATTGTTGTCCTTTGTTATTGTTGAACAGCACTTTTCTTGCCCGTCATAACAGGGTCACCATCTGTAGCACAAGACGTAATATTTTCCACAAGTATTTGATTTTCGTATGACATGGATTAAAAGTTGATTAAGTACATCACTGCCATCACTTTCTAATGATTCATCGAACATCATAGTAAAATCTTCATTTTTGAAATGTCTTGCACATGTCCCCTATATTAAATTCTTCTATCTGTATGGTGAATTCCTTTAGTCTCATGTGTAAGATGATGCTTATGTAGCTTCATTATGGTAAGCTGGTTCTTCCTGTTGCCTGGCTATTTATTTAGTTTTGGAAAACCTTCAGCATTAAGCAAGAATACCCACTTGGAGGCTTGTTAGACTAGGGAGATTTCAGTTATGTTATGTCTTCGAGTGGGTGTCTTCTCCTAGTGGATCGTAGGACCAGCAAGTCCTTCAAGATTCTTTATGAATCCTTTTCTCATGTTTCATTTTAGCTTATAATCAAAGGGTTAATTTTTATGTGTGAATAAGCTGCCCTTTGAGGTTTGCAGTGATCTGCTGCAGGCAAAATTGTAATCAGTGGATTGCTTTTACCACTTTTGGCTCTTTCTCTCTTGATCTTTTTGGGTGATGATATTGCTTGGATAAATTCTCTCTCAGAGTATTCTTCTTCTCAATTTGTGCTACATATAAAAGCATTATATAAGTAGCCTCAAGAGTACAACTATTAGTGGCAGTTCCTGTAGAGAACTGTTTTGCTAATCTATTGTTAAACTTCTCCTTTGGTTATTTTAAATACCCCAGTTTGGAATATCTCTACATGAAAGTAATGATTTTAGCCTTCAAATTTGCCTTAAAACAGGTTACTGTTGGTTACTGATTTATTTGTAAGGTGTTGACAAAACAGACAAATCAAACTAAATATTCTCTCATCCTTTACTTGCACAATTCCTTTTTTACACAGAAAACTAAATGTAAGGAAGCACAATTCCATTGTAAATTAGCACATATATATTATACTTACTAAAATAATTTATATTATTTTTCATGTAATTTGTGTATGCACAATAATGTAAGTATCAGTTATGAGGAAGCTTCCCTAATGGAGCTGCCTATATTATTACAAGTTATTGTATCCTCCCTTTGCCTTCTAATGTTGTTACTCTACTGATCTGTATATAGCAATTACTTGCTTTAATTCTGAGTGAAAACTGTCGTGTTCAACTATACATTACAGCAGCTTTTCCCAACCCTGGAATCACGAGGTTAGAGCGGTTTCACCAATCATTTTTCCATGGGTTGCCAAGATCTTGAAATATCAAATGGGGTCAATACTCAAATTTGAAATGTTTGCAGTAGGCTAATGGATAAATTGTTCTATTATTACACAAGAATTTGAAACGCAGTAGTCTTAACTGTTAATCCTGTATCAGGTGTGTCTTTGCCTACATACATCCAGAAAGTGTTATTTAAAAAGAAAAGAAAAGAAAAAAGAATAATTAAATTCTGACAAAACTCAACCTTAAGAAAATATAATGAATTGTGCATTTTTGTTTAGTAAATGATGTATATATCTATTGAATGATATAGATATAATAATATTATGTAATGATACCATACAGGCCCATACATTGTGGAACAGGGCTGCAGTCATATCACTTTATTTGTTTCTGCTGATACTGATGATAGGGAAATGGTTGTGTAGCAACCACTACCCTTGGTATAAATAAATCTCTCCACGTAAGATATTTCATTTTATATATGGCCAATGCACAAGGTTGGCCATTTTAGTTGACAGTAACAGATTGATGAAATAAAAGTAGTGCTATGATTAGGGTGATTAGCTGTACAATCAAGATTTATATCAATTGCTGTAACTTTGCTTATTTTCACATGCATCCAGCGGGATGGTGAAATATTCCAAGAGAGTGGATACTGTCGCAGGAGGTAAGGGGTGATATTAGTTGGCATGTAGATATTTTTTTTGTAAAATTTTCAGGAGACCTATGACATATTCTCCTGTATTGTGGGTTTATTTTTGTAGTTTTAAGTCGCAGAATTATTGGGTAGGAGGGATTTTTGTAATATTTTTCCATTATCTGGTTATTAGGTAAATTTCCACAGCGCCTTCTCCTTGCCCATGTTAATACTGCTAGCAGCCAGTGTTTCTTTTTCAAGTACATCTTCAGTAGCTTTTGAATGAATCTTTACTACAGATCATTCTGCTAGATGGCATTTCATGTACCCTCTTTGGCCTTTGCACATAACCTTTATCAGTCTGCTCTAATTGTTTATTGATATATCTATTTATCAATTTATATTTGAGGTATGATAGCAAAGTGGGTGAATAAGAGAAAATAACAGAAGAAGAAGACATCAAAGAAAAGATTGACAAGTTATTATGAGATTTGGTAAAATGTTAGAAAAATCTAGAATGAGAAACAGACCAAGAAAAGCACAAAGTGGATACCAAGATGAAACAGAAATTGAGAGTAGACCAGCAAGGCAATAGGAGGATGACACTGAATCTAGTGTGACAATGATGATGATGATGATGAGCATCACTACTATATTGGTTTAAATTAGTGTGGACTTGTTTACTTATTTGTTTCTGCTGATACTGATGATATGGAAATGGTTGTGTAGCAACCACTGCCTGTGGTATTTTGCTCGCTCACTTAGCTCACTCACTAGAGGGGGAGTACTGTAGCAACCATGACCTGCAACCTGCAGCTCAGTATAGTTGCCCAGGTTGGGTCAACCATGTCCTCAGCCATGTCCAAGTCACTCACCAGCAGGCGCTTCTCGCAACTCACTGCTGAGGCCTGACTGGCTCAACAGGACACCTCCCAGCTCTCTGATTGAACTGCAGAATCCCTTTATTCCCTGTTAGCTTACACAGCTCCTGTGTACTTGAGCTGCAGAAGCTGGAATGAGATTAAGCATTATATCAAGATCATCCAGACTGAACAGAGCTAAGCAGCAGCCACCTTTCTGTCTCCCCTGTCGATCTCCACTCAACTCCAACACCCAGCCATAACACCCCCACAACAACCACTCCCCAAAGTGATGTAGACACCAGTCATGTGATAGACACCATCATCTAATACTTGACATATTCTGTTGTGAACGGTACTTTGACATTTCTTTGTTTATATCAGTCATTACTTGTCCTTATAATTTTTCCCTTTTTGTTAATCAAAAGAGCTTGAACCAAGGTAAATAATATGTTAGATCAAGATACACTGAGTAGTTTATTTCATTATGTGAGATTATTGTCATAGTTATACCTTTGTTAGATCTTTTATGATGCACCCTCCTGTGGAGTTTTCACGGCAGTTGCCAGTAGCCACTGGTAATGATAATAGACTAATCTTTTAAAGATATGATTTATCAGTATAGAGCAGTTTTAAACAGAATAAGAAAGTTGAAAATTAGCTGGCTGTAGCAGCTGGTCGGGAGCTTTTTTGGTGGTAACAATTATGCTTAAGATATCGGCTGGAGGTAAAACATATATTCCTCATATTAGAAAACAGTTGTTATAATAGCGAAGGCTGTAGTATATTTGTACAAATTAGATTCTAGATATCGGCATTTAAAGACTGAAGTACCAATATTTTTTCTTTGGTTACGTTATTATTTTATTTAAGTGATGTATCTCTTTGTATGTGACCTTTTTTTTTTTGATGAAAAAAGACTAGCTATATTAAGACTTGCTTAAAAAAGTAGTCTTTATTGACACCCTTATTTCAACAGGTTTCAAGTTTACAAGTGGAGAAACTGGAACTTCAAGAAGAATGCTGGTGGAACAGAAAAAAGAGAACCTTTGATGTTGAATCTCAAAACCTTTCTGTGTCAGACTGGGTCACGATGAAAGAAGCCTCCACTTACAAGCCACATCATCAGAATCCAAATTGGTAAGGACTGA